TGAATTTGTGGATGTCTGAGTGTGTCATCTTCTGTATAATCAAGAAGATAGTTGGACGCTGCTGTTGTTGTACATGCTGTACTTTCCACTGCTGAAGGAATATAGAATGTTAATGCTCTTCATTTCTTTGCTATTAGGTATCAAATGAACCTGGCAACCGCTACAACATCCAGCTGATTAATGCACTGGTGCTCTACGTAGGTACTCAAGCTATTGCGCACATTCACAACAAAGGCAGCACACCCTCCATGAGCACCATTACCCACTCAGCTCACATGGACATCTTCCAGAATTTGGCAGTTGACCTGGACACTGAAGGTGAGCTGGAAACAGTTCTAGTTCCTGTGATGTCAAATTTAACAGCAGATTGTCTGTTTGAGCTACGAGAAATACAGATCATTTCATGTAGCTGCTAGTGAATTCACAGTAAGTAACGCCACGTTACAATATTGAACTCGGAATACAGGGGCAATATTAAAACCGAATGTTCAAAGTATTCAAGGGAATGAGAAATAAGTTTAATGAAGAGGAATTGAATTCTTACTGTGCCATCAGCTTGAGTCAACAAGGCTTTTTCATATATCAGAATCATGGAATGTTTTGGTTTGGAAGGGATCTCAAAGATCATCTAGTTCCAGCCCCCTCCCAGGGGCAGGGACCCCCTCCACTAGACCGGGTTGCCCAAAGCCTCATCCAGCCTGGCCTTGAACACTGCCAGGGATGGGGCAGCCACAGCTTCTCTGGGCAACCTGTGCCAGTGCCCACCACCCTCAGAGGGAAGAATTTCTTCCTTCTATCTCATGAAAATCTCCCCTCTTTCAGTTTAAAGCCATTGCCCCTTGTCCTGTTACTACCTGTCCTTGTCCAAAGCCCCTCTCCAGCTTTCTTGTAGCCCCTTTAGGCACTGGAAGGCTGCTGGAAGATCTCCCTGGAGCCTTCTCTTCTCCAGGCTGAACAGCCCCAACTCTCTCAGCCTGTCTCCAGAGCAGAGGTGCTCCAGCCCTTGGATCATCTCTGTGGCCTCCTCTGGACCCGCTCCAACAGCTCCGTGTCCTTCTGATGCCCCAGAGCTGAACGCAGCACTGCAGGGGGGTCTCAGGAGAGCAGAGCAGAGGGAGTTTGTTTCTTGTTCCTTCGTAAGGCAGGCTCACAAACTGTAATCCTAAGCTGTACTAGCTGCTGCTTTATTCCTGTGTGTGTGTAAGGGAAGCCATACATACTCACTGTTCCTCTCGTGCAGGCCGGTACCTTTTCTTGAACGCAATTGCCAACCAGCTGCGATATCCCAACAGTCACACCCACTACTTCAGCTGCACCATGCTGTACCTGTTTGCAGAGGCCAACACCGAGGCCATCCAGGAGCAGATCACTAGGTGAGAGGGAAGGTGTTTAACTTGCCAACGTTCAGCTTTTCCCTCTCCTTCCTTGTGTATTTCGGATCTTTGAGCTCTAACTGGTTTTACTTTTTTTGGCTTTCAGGGTTCTCTTGGAACGACTGATTGTAAATAGGCCTCATCCCTGGGGTCTCCTTATTACTTTCATCGAGCTGATAAAAAATCCAGCATTTAAATTCTGGAACCATGAGTTTGTTCACTGCGCTCCAGAAATCGAGAAGTGAGTATAACTTGAACACAAAAATCACAAAAAACGATGTCTCTGAAGCTGAGTTGCACCTCGAGCTTTCGGTGCTTCGTAGTGGAAGCACCTTTTGCTGCCGTAAACACACCTTAACACCGCTGTGCTCCTGTGTTCAGGTTGTTCCAGTCAGTTGCACAGTGCTGCATGGGGCAGAAACAGGCCCAGCAAGTCATGGAAGGGACTGGTGCCAGTTAGATGAGCCGCATCGTGTGTCGTGAGCGTTGCCAGCCTGGAAGTCCCCGTCCCATCGACTGCCAGAAGACTCTGTAAGGCTCCTCCTGACCTTCCCAGCCCCCTCGATTGGGTAGACGCACCAGACCCTGGGTGAAAGTCTATGTGGGCGCGTTCCAAAGTTTGAAACAAATTTTTTGACTTTTGGCCAAAATTCAGAAGATGCTGTGAATATCATTTTGAACCTAGTGTAAATACAAGGAACAGAAACGTTTGTCTGGACTTTTGGGTTTGTGCAAATTGTGTAAAAGGCAGGTGCGTAACTGGTGCCTGTCCAGCTTGTAATAAAGGGGCAGCTGCTGATGCCAAGCACTTGTCTGGGGCAGACCTCCTTGTCCTGACATTCCCAGACTCCCAAAGAATATTGAAAAGCCAGTTATAATATTATGTAACTTATTTTTCTTTATGTGGATGGGGGACCTTGAAATCACTAAGTAGTTTTACAAAAAAAAAAAGAGGGATGTGTTTGGAATATGGGAATACTACGGAGTAGGGGAGGGGTGAGGGAGGGGTTAAGGTTCAGCATTGCTTTCTCCCCACCCTCATCAAATGCTGACAGACAGCAAGTGGAGTGGCAGGCAGAGAATGCCTCCTTTCTGTTGGAGAAGACACACCTCAGGCCCTTTGGGAGAGGGCCAGCCGTTTTTAGTAAAGAAACCAGAGACCAGGCCTATAGCTTTTTTTTTTTTCTGACACTTGTAAATTTTGGAAGGGGCTGGGGGGGGGGTAAACTATAACCTTTCCCCCCTCCCACCCTGTGACCACACAGTATAAGTTTGTAAAAAAAAAAAAAAAAGAAAAGAGAGAAAAAAAAACACAAAAGAAAAAAAAAAAACAAAAAAACAAAAACCCAAAGGACCAATACAGCCCATTTTGTAAGGATTTTGAATGTTTTGTAAAGTATTGGTCCACGTGTTGTATTTTGTAGCCTTTCTAGTTCTTGGGCTTTAGTTCTCCCACTTCTTGTATGTATGCATACTGTAGTTACACATTAAAGTCATGACATGCAGCACGTGCCCCTGTGCTTATTCTCTCCAGTTCCATCCTACCTGCCCAGTTGGCGTCTTTCCAGGTCTGTTCCACTCATCCAAAACCTGCAGTTTTCCAGTGCGTTTTGGCCACTGCCTGTTGAGAGTCACTGAGCTTCTGGCTTGAGGTCGGAGGGGAGAATTGTCACGGGCCTTGCTTTGAAACACAAAAGGAAAGGGGACAGCTGTGTGGAGATGGAAATATCGTAGTTGCAAGTTTGTGAGCAGGATTTGTCTCCGACGGAGCGTTGCTGGAAAGGAGACCGCAGCGGAGGGGCCACACAGCAGGAGCTTCACTGCTTGCTTTTCTGGATAACCTTACTAGTGTGTTACAACTAGTTGACTGCTGTTGTATGGGTGGAGAGGTCAGGGTCTCCTGCTCAGGTTAAGGGTACCTGGCTGGGCTTTTGGTGCCCAGAGCAAAAGCCAGATCCAGGGACCCGCTGAGCCAGGGGTGCCAGTGGAGCGCAGCTCAAGGGGAATCCTGTGACCCGTTTCTAGGCAGCTTTTTCAGTTGCCTGTGTGTAAAGGTGTAGTTTCTTGGCACATCCTACAACTCCCTCACATTTGTGTGGCAGGTCAGCAGTTGTGCTGAAATCCTGCCTTTTGGAGTTGGATTTTTTTTTGGTTCTAGTGTTGCAACTCCAGTTTACTCTTTCTTCTGTGTTGAGTTAGGATACGGAGTTATCAGCAACCAGTTTATCTAGTCCAGATGCCATGTTTTTTTTTTTTTTTCTCCCAGTTAACTCTAGCAAACCATGTGCAGAGCTTCTTGCCTTGTCCTAATGACTTCAAAGGCCTCTCTGGTTCTGTACTAACGCTGCTGTACGTGGCTGGTTCCCCTTAGGCTTTAAGAACTGTTAGGCTGGTAAAAGGAGTGGGTGGAAAGTGGACAGGACTCGGACAAGATCCCAGTAGCACAAGTTGGGCTGGTAGGATGGAGGCCACTGCACTTGATAACCTCCCTTAGCAGGTTAGAAACCTGCAGCTGGTACTGTCGAAGCCAACAGCGCTGTGTCAGCTCCCCAGGGATTGCCAGCAGAGCCTGTGGCTGTAATGCACTTCATGGTTAAGAAGTCGAGACTAACCTTTCGATCCACTGTGTGCCCAGTTTGAAATCTAGTCTGCTGTGGGAAGAGAAGAGCCAAGGTGGTAGAGTGGGCTCACCTACAGCATTACACCACTGTAAAAGGGCAGAAAAGTATCCAAGTAACGTTAAACTGCTCTGGCCCCCCCCCAGCAGTGATGTTAGGGTCGTAGCTGACCTTTATTTACAGGAGTACGTGGGGTTTCTTGTTTGCAGCAGCAAAGATCTCCCTCACCACCACGTCTTTTAGGTGGGGCTGTGCACCCTGCTGAAGCAGACAGCGTTGGCTGGGTAAGAAATGCAGTCTTTATTAAATACTAGCTTGTCCTGCAAACCTCCAGTGTTTTGGCATGCAAAAACTGCAGAGGGGAAAACATTAGTGTAGCTAAAGGTGATGCAGGGCAATGCCCAAGTTCAGGGAAGATCCCCTGGAGGGTTTGTGTCATGCTGAGTGCATGGCAGCTGCAGAACTGGCATGGTGCCCCTCCATGGGTGTAGGCTCGAGCCCGTACAGAAATGCCTTTTGTAGAAGTACAAGGAAATATCCCGCTATCCTGAGCCTACATGAAAACCAGACGGATGGGCTTGTCCAACTCTTCAAAATGCTCAGTATTAACAAAATGTAAGTGACTAGTTTGTCAGCATCACCACCTGCCACACACTTGCTCTGAACCTCTGTAAGGCAGGAGCTACCAGCTGGATTTTGGCCCACTTCATCTGGACACGGAGCAGTTCTTGCCTTAAATTTCTGATGCTAAATGAGGGAACCCACTTGTTGTTCTGACAGAGCACATCTGTCTTCCTAGAGCAGCCATTAGGAGATGTGGGTGTCTTTACGTCCTCTAGAAGGTGGTGGTAGTTGTAAGAGAAGGCCACCCAAACCCACTTCTGGGCTGCAGAAGACTTTTGTTTGTTTATGTAGAGGTAGCTAAAAAAAGCCACATGCCATTTGAGGGACAAGTGGACCCATATTTAGTCTTGCCATCTGTTCTCGCTGCTGTGGAGGAGACAGCCCCAGGTGGACCTTCCCTTCCTGAGCACTGTTCCAGGTGGTTTGTTTCCAGAGGCAGTGAGGTCTCTACTGTACCAGCTCCAACAGCTGGTGCAAGATCCTCTTCTGTCCGTAGCGCACGTGCAAAGCTTGCTGCTCCCTTCGACTCAGTTTCTCATAAGCCTCCTTGTTGTTTAGCAAGTCCTGCTCCGCTTTCAAGTCTGACCTGTAGGACTGCAGGGTCAGCAGCACGCTGTCGTAAAGGAGCTCCTTGCAAGGGGTTTTAAGTCTGGAGAGAGCCTCGTTAGAAAGGGTAGAGGTTTCCTCTTCCTCACTGTCGTCTTCCCAACCATCTTGTTCCTTGTACTCCTTGAATTCTTCTTCTGACATGCACAGCACCTGTAATGACCAGGCAAAGAGACAAGTCACAGGGTGTGAGTTCATTGGGCTTCCTCCTCTAGGGGAAGGGACGTGTGTCCTGGGGACACCCAGAGCAGGTGAATTATTCCTCAGCTGCACTAAAGCAGGTGCTTTGGGTGTCTGGGCCAGTTTTACTCTCTCCCAAGTAACTTGTGGGCAAGAAGAACATTCAAATGGCAAACCTGGGTGTTGGGAACAGTCTTGAAGGACATCTCAGCTGCCACCTACAAAGGTGCAAAGCTAGAACAGCACAGAGCCATTCAAGACCAGTTTAAGTACAGGTGGGTGGTTTGTTCAGGAGAGGAAGTGGACAGTAACAGTACCTGAAGCCTGGGGAGATGGGCACCTGCACCCCCTACCACTTTTCACGCAGGGCTGTTAGAACCAAGGTGGCGTTATGTGCTTGTCCCCCCTCACGGAACCATTGTGCACGCTGGCCTGCACAGCTGCAGCATGCTTAGTCCGTGCTCCTTCTCGTGTAGCTCTTCCACCGCTTGTCAGTGCTTACCTTCAGGGTTGTGGACAGCTCTTCCTCTGTCAGCACCTCATCCCAGCCAAGCACAAAGGCACCTTCCTCCCCCACCATCTCCAGCTGGCACAAGAAGTCCCACTGCTCTGACACCAGCTGCTGCTGGGCTTCACTTTGGGCACCTGTCTTGAAGACAGCAGAGCTGCAAACCCAGCTCCGGCTGCAGCAGAGGGGCTGGTGGCGAATGGAGAAGGGGAAACGGGAGGTGGAGACGTGAGGCGAAGCCCCAGCACCTGAAACGCTGCGGAACGGGCTTGTTTTTTTACGCCAAACTCGTATCCCAGTCTCACTACATGGCTATTTCAGAGATCCCTGCCCCCACCCTTGGCCCCAGTGGCCGCGGGTGCCACTCACGCTGCAGCGCTGCCTTGCGCAGTGTCACCATCTGGATGTCGGCCGTGTCGTTGGTGTTGCCGGGGTACGGCTCCGCGAAGCCGTACATGTGTAGGAGCTGCCAGTTGGCCATCTGCCCGTAGGTGTTGAAGATCTCTTGGCCTTTGCCAACGGGCTGTGTCGTAACCATCCGTAAGCATTGCTGCAGGCAGGGAGAGAGGGGCCTCTGAGCTGCAGTGATCCTACCGCTCCCGGAAACAAGGTGTTCCAAAGAGGCTCAGGTGACCCTGAGCTCTCCCGAGCTAAAGCCCAGCAGGATGTGGAGCTATTTTGCTCAACATCGAGATCTGGGCCAGGCTCGCTTGCTGCCCTGGCAGGGGGGCAGTGCCACCGCTGCCAAAGGCCTCACAGCGAAGAAGAACCGGCCCACCATGATGCCTGGCGGAGCGGCTTTGCACTCACGGGGGAGTATTCCAGGTTGGCGTTGTGGTTGGCCACGTGATTCAAAATATCTGCTACGGGTACCATCATCGGAGGATTGGGCCCCTTCTCATCTTCATCTTCCTCCTCCAAAGGCTCCTGAAAGCTAAGAGGAGGGAGAAGAAGACAAGCCAGTTGTCCCCCTTGCAGCACAGGGCAAGCTTCACCTTGTATTTACGTTCTTGTGCAACTGGCACTTTCCAAGTCACAGCCTTGTGATCTTTCCTGTGATCCTACTCCTCATCGGAGCAAAGCCCTCGTGTCTCACCTGTAGGCCATGACAAATGCCACCAGCTGCTTGTACAACTCCAGCGTGTGCCGTTTGGGGTCAAAGATGCTGGGGTGGGACTCCATGAAAGGCAGGATGATGGAGCTGTACTCCACATGGATGTTAGCCAGGTCTTTGTCCACTGCTTCTGGGATGCCTGTGCCCTGCAGGAGCCTGCTTCGCTCCTCTTGGGGCCTGTGGCAAGAAAACCAGCGGGTTTATCTCCATCTGCCCCAGGGAGAAAGGTCTATAAACTCCTTTCTCCTTCAAAATCTCAGCTTCCTGGGGTTTTCTGGATTCCCGTTTTCTGGTTATGCTTGTTGCTTGCTCCAACCCCAGGTGGGGGGTTGTACTGCCAGTGACAGTACAGGGCTGGAACAGAGGGATGGAGTTGTGCAGGAGGACCACATCTGATCCCAGCTCCTGGTCAGCTGTCAAACTGGGCCACCCCGACAGCCCCACGGGGTTTCACCTTACCAGAACATGGGGTGATCCAGGCTCCTGAAGTCCTCCCAGAGGGAGAAGTAAGGCTGCCAGTGGGAGTTGCTGGCTGTGTACTCGTGTAGCAGGGCCAGCAGGAGCGGCACCCAACCCGACTGGCTCTGCAGGGACTCCTGGGCTAAGGAACCGGAGACAATGGAGAAAAAGTCAGTTGATTTGAGATTTTAGTCTTTTCCTTGGAAAACAAGTCTTCCAAGAACCAACGCCTGATACCACCAGCCTCATGGCCTGTCTCCAGCCTGGGCTGGGGCGTCCAGCATTTCCTCCCAATGGTCTCTCCAGACTGGGGTTTGCCCTGAGCTGATGCGGAACCAGAAGCTGCTGCTCTGGAGCTGCAGGTGAGCTGCTTCCTTGCACCCCCCACCCTCCCGTGGTTCGGGGTGCCTTCAGGAAAGGATCCGTGTTTTTTCCTGGCAGTTCCTCAAGGAACGCGCCTCCATCGGGGTAATCTGCCACTGGAAGACCAGCGCTGCTCCAGTTTTTGACTGCCCAGCGTGGCTCCAGGCTCCCTCGGGAAAGGAGGCGGTGCCCAGACACCCCCTTTCCTCCACAGCCCTGCACCTCCCTGCTCCAGCATCCTGCCCCAAGCGGGAACATTCCCAAGGCTTTACCCCAGACCCACTTTATTCCTTTGAAACCAGAACGGGGCAAACTTGTGGGTCGCCGAGGCGAGC